ATCAATTCTAGACTTCCCAGCCAGTCCAGGGATGGTAGAGGTGAATCAGGAGAAAGTGGATGTCTCTTTCTCTCTACTTCACATAAGTCACCCAAAGTCTATGGGCATCATTTAAGTGGGGACCCAGACAGGTAATTCCACCACAAGGTTCTGTGGCAGTGGAAGAGTCTGGGAAAAGCCCAGTGCAGGAGAGAGAGGAACAGAATAGCGGTACACTTCAAGGGTGCTAGCTCTGGCCCTGTCAGGCCATCAATATACCCTACAGTACAGAGACAAAGCTAATCAGTGCTCAGAATACAAAGAAAAGGAAAAGCGGTTGTTTCATGCAATGCTGAGCACAAGATATTTCTGAAATTCGTTCCTCAAGTAGCTCTGCAAACAAAAATTTATTTAAAAATGTGTATTAACAAAGTGTTTGTGGGAGCTCTCTCTGGAAGCAAAAGGTAAAGGTAAAGGTCAAGGCCCTCCCGTTGATCGTCGATTTGCTCGAACGGGCCCAGTAACGTCTCCATTGGAGACTTTGTTGTTACTGTGTTTGGCATATCGAATACTCTCGGTAGCTTGCCGGGCTCTCCGAGAGGGGCGGAGGAATCGAACTCGGGTCGGCCATGTTGGCCGCTTGTAAGGCGAACGCCCTACTGCTGTGCTATTGCTCCAGCAAAAGTGCAGGTAATTTCAACTTTACTTGTCAGTTCCAAAAATTTCTTTAATTAATAGGCATTATTAGAATTAGGAAAACATTTCTTAATTCATACAATTTTAGACCCATACAACACAAAGATGAGATAATATAAGCTTTAGCAGCAGAGCTTTCCTTTGTCACACAGATTTTTAGCCAGACTGCTGACTTTATATGATGCTTTCTTCTTTGATTTATCTCTAGGGACTCCCAGGAAATAGTTGCTCCTCTAATAAAATGGGACATGGGGAAAGAGGATTATCAAGAGGAAAATAGGGTTGCATAGCCATTCTTTACAGGTCTCTTCATGTCCTCCAATGTCCTTAAACAGCACTCAGCTTCATGTAAATGGAAGACGACAAAATAAAGAGCACTTGACCTTGTGATTCTCCCATACTTGAGAACAGATGTGCATCATGTGACATGTACAGAGATGCGCAGTTCCCTTGTCTGATCCACAGTCACTAAAGCCTGAGAACTACCCAGTGTCAATCAGCAACAAAATGAATTTAAAAACTGTCATATTCTATAACAGAAAACTGCAGGGCACTGAAAAAGAATAAACTCCTGTGGAACCTAGTAAATAAACGAGTAAATAAAGCTTGCAGAACAATTTCAAGTGAAGGAAGCTGAACACAAAGATATACACAAACACATACACACATCATATGATCTAATTTGTGTGAAGTTCAGAAAAGTAGGCAAACTGGGCAGTTTAGTGGCCAAGTTGGCTTTGCTCCCCAGTCCCCCATTGGTCTTTCAAGCCTGCCAGGAGTGATCTCTGAGCACAGAGCTAGGAGTAAGCCCTGAGCATCACCAGGTGTAGCCACAAAACAATGACAAAAAGAAAGCAATTCTAATCTACAGTATTCAAATGTATGTAGACTAATACCCCCCCACCTCACCCCTACCCCCCCCCCCACACACACACAGTGGATTAAGGATAAGGCAGGAACTTGCTCCAAGAGAAGACTGTAGGTGCTGGTAATGTTCTACTTGTCCAGATGGATAGTTGGTGATGTGGGCCCTTTTGTTTGCATTCTCCATCATACTTTATCTTTATGATGTATACATTTGTTATAGGTAGTTGATAATGGATAATCATTTTAAGATACAGACATAAATATAAATTAAACTTGGGATTCATATTTTCTTCTCATAAAAAAAATTCCCCGGGTAGGCAGAACAAGGCAGATTCAGCCTAGTTCAGAATAGGGCCTCAATTTATCGAGTATCTATAAACTGCCTAGCAATCATTCACACAAGCAGGAAAGAAACAGATTTGGACACCACACGCTCCACATAGCATTGCCTTGAATTAGGACTGACTTCAGTCTGATTGTGTACAAAGTCAGCTACAAGAGTGGATAAATCAATGTGGGTACAGGATGGAAGAGAGCCAAGGCTTATGACTAAGATGCTACAAGCCCTTGCTAGCACAGTATTAGTATGAGGCTGTGAAAAATCCAGGCTGTGCCTGATGATTTACAATTTCTTGCTGACTTAATTATCTGAGAGATGAAAGGGCAATAAAGGGAACACACTGAAGGCATGTGCCACTTCACTGTCCTGTAACAGGAGTGAACCAATAAGGGAGACAGTCTTGCAGATTCCTATGCATTAAAACAGCAGGCAGGTTGATAGTGAAGCCCCTGACCCCATCCCCAAAGCCCCCCTGCCTCAAATGAGTTCTTGGAAAGTGATAAAGCCAGTGACCCTAAAGCTGCTTAAAAAATTCTTGTCAGCAAAGGAACTAAGGCCTGATAAGACCTTTACCACTGCAGGCCCAGAGAAGGCAAACAGAGAGAACAAACTTCAGCAGAGGCAAGAGACTGCAATAAGCATATGGAAGAGGATCACCAACAAGTTCAAAGCTCCTTATGACTATACCTGATCATCTCTCAAGTCCCCAGAAAACTCCAGGGCAAGGCAACCTGAACGATATTCATATAAGGGCCAGAGCAACAATAGAGCTGGCAAGGCATTTGCCTTGCGTGCAGCCAACCCAGGTTTGATCCCCAGCATCCCAAATAGTATTCTGAGCCAGTCAGAAGTGATTCTCAAGCACAAAAACAAAACCGAAAGAAAGAAAGAAAGAAAGAAAGAAAGAAAGAAAGAAAGAAAAAGTAGATATATATCTATATAAAAGCCAGTTCAAAAAGTCATTCAAGACTCTTTTAGAGAAGCCAATGTTCTCTTTTGAGCATATCTCTCTCTCTCTCTCTCTCTCTCTCTCTCTCTCTCTCTCTCTCTCTCTCTCCCTCCCTTCCTCTCCTGCTTCAAAATTTCTAAATAAAAACCTGTTTTCACAGGGGCTGGAGCTATAGCACAGCGGGTAGGGCGTTTGCCTTGCATGCAGCCGACCTAGGTTCGATTCCCAGCATTCCATATGGTCTCCCGAGCACCATCAGGAGTAATTTCTGAGTGCATAAACCAGGAGTAACTCCTGTACATCACCGGGTATGACCCAAAAAGCAATAAATAAATAAATAAAATAACAAAAATTAAAAAATTAAAACCCGTTTTCACTTCACTGTTCATTGTTTCCTGAAATTCTTTTCTGAGAGAAAGTCGTGGACCTGGAAGTTCTGGGTAAGGCCTAGGATTGACTCTCCTTTTTTGCCAAAGAGAAATTTCTCACTCCATCATTCCCCCAAGAAATTGGTGAGGGGTATATTAATTCCCATGCCCCACAGAACATGTGCGCATCAGTATAGCTTGATAGCTGTCTAGTGGGGTGGGGCTGGAGAGGGGTGAGTTCTGTGTCATGTAGAGACTTACCTCTTCCTTCTTTCTTTCTTTCTTTCTTTCTTTCTTTCTTTCTTTCTTTCTTTCTTTCTTTCTTTCTTTTTCTTTCTTTCCTCCTTTCCTTTCCAACCCCACCAATGCTCAGGGCTTACTCCTGGCTCTCTGCTTAGGGGTCGCTCTTGAGACCCATATGCAATGCCTGGAATGGAGCTGGAGTCAATACATCCAATGATCTCTCTCTTTCAAGCCCTCAAGCTATTTTGAAATTACTCAAGATCCATGCTTTTCAAAGTATGGTCCAAGGACCTACAGCAGCATGATCAATGGAAAAGGGGACTACAGAATATGGGTGCAACCCTTAGTCACTGATTTGCAAAGCTGGTGTGCAAAGGAGCTGGAATAAAGTTGGAGACAGGAGCCTATTGAGGAGAGAAAGGGAAGGCAGGGCAGAGCTAGCCTGGAGGGCTTGAGAAATGAACTCCAGTAAGTGTCCCCAGAAGCAGAGCCCAGAGGCAGGAGTTGCTGCAGAACTGTTTCTGTTCTCACAAGAGCCCCATGGGGATTCTAGAGCTAGGCATTTGGGAGAGAAGCGCTGCACAGAGGGTCCAGACGCACATGCCCTTAAACTGCGAGGCCATACCTAAACGCAGGAACCACTCTGAGCTCTAGTTTTACTGCCTGAGAGAGAGGCTTGTAAACGCAGAAACTATCTTAGAACCGTGTTGAAACGAGAAGAAACAGCAATTAGCAACACCACCTCAGTACCTCCAGGAATTGGTTTTGGCCAGCCTGAGCAAGGAAGGAAATTTCACAGGACCCCAGTAAATGATCTACATTAGAAAACAACTCCAGGAGCACTTGAAGAAGCGGTAAAAATTTACACCGAACCCCACCCCCTACCCTTAGACCTTTAGGGAGTTATTGGGGAATGGAAACAATGAAGCAGGTCCAGGGCACACCCAAGTAAGGGGTCTCCCTGAAATAGGCAGGCAGGCAAGGCCGCTCACAGGCAGCTTTGGAAACACTGGCTGAGCAGATGTGCGCTCTAACCTGCTCACCCCCATACCTGCTGCTGCTCCCCAATCTAGGCGAAGCAGCGCTTGCGACCACGGGACATAGCCGCTTGGCACAGGGCGAGGACACAGGCGCCCAGAAATCTCCGGGGGAGATGTCAGGCATGAACTAGGTCGCAGGGCTCTGAGGCAGCGCCCCTTGCCCGGCGCCTCGCCTCTAGGAGCCAGCCGGGGCCGCCAGCTGAGCTGGGACGCACGCGGGACAGGAGTCAGAAACGGGGCACGCGCATCGTAGCCTCGGGGGTGCCCCTCGGGCTGGCAGAGGGCTGTGGGGTGGGCTCTCGGCTCGCCCGCGCGCCCCCGCGCATGCCCGCCCTGTGGGGGCGCGCCAGGCTCCCGGGGCTGCGGCGGGCGCGCGCGTGCGGGGAGCGTGCGGGCCGGGCGGGCGGCGGCAAGGGCCGGGCGCTGGAGCCGAGCCCGCCGCCGCTCACCTGCCGCGGCCGCTCACCTGCCGCGGAGCGCGCGCCCCGCCGCCCTCTCGCGCCTCCCGGAGCGCGGCCGCCGCCCCTCGCCAGAGCCCACAGGCTACGCTGGTGGCCGGAGCGCCTCGGAAGCAGCAGAGAAGCCCCCCTCGGCCTGGGCGCGCCAAGGTGACCCCCGAGATGCCCCCCCTTAGCCGCGGGTGCCTGTCCGGAATCCTGGGTGTGCGCCCGGGGTGCGGCGCTGTGCATGGGCTTCCGTCTGTCCGTCCGTCTGTCCGTCTGTCTGTCTTGTCTGCACACCTTCACTGCAAACACCTGTCCTTTGTGGCCCGTGCGCATCGGGCAAGTTTGGGGACCCCCTTTGTTCTGGCTGGGGTGTGTGTGTGTGTGTGTGTGTGTGTGTGTGTGTGTGTGTGTGTGTGTGTGTGTACGCGCGCGAGGGATTTGGGGGAGGGTGCGGTCTGGTGGAAGTAGCCGATCCCTGGGTTGCGTTGAGGATGGCGGCCCCGGGCTCGCGCCGCGCCGCTGCAGCGGGGCTTTTCCCAGCAGCAGCAGCAGCAGCAGCCCAGATGTGAGGTACCCTCCCGCACTCCGCCCGGAGCTGAGTCTTTCCAAGGTGTGCACGCAGCACTTTAGCCGACACGCCGCCGCGATCCCGCGTGTGCCCGAGATGGAGCGCAGAAGTCCCCGTCTTGCCCCACCCGCCCCGCCCCCCCCATCCCCATGCCAAAAGGGCATTTTCTGTTGTGAGCCTGCAATCACGGCGACTTTGCCTTTTGTTTGATTTCATGCCACGCACAATTCACGACGCTGGTGGCATTTGGTCGCAGCATCTGAGTCGGGGCTGGCTTTCTGTTGGCGTGTGTTGTGGTTATTTTTGCATGCTCTCTCGCATGGTCGCGCCACTGTCTCTAACTAAACAGTAAAAAGCTTGTCTTTTCGTTGAAGAGGACGGGGGTTAAAATGAATGAAGACCTGAAGGGCAATGTAAGCGGGCTGCCTCGGGATTATTTAGATGCCGGTGCTGTGGAGAACAACTCAGCTGCTGTCTCCTCCCAGGTCCCCGTGGTAAAACCTGAGCCAGAGCTTGCTGTCAACCCCTGGGACATAGTCTTATGCACCTCGGGGACCCTCATCTCCTGCGAAAATGCCATCGTGGTCCTGATCATCTTCCATAACCCCAGTCTGAGAGCACCCATGTTTCTGCTCATTGGCAGCCTCGCTCTTGCAGACCTGCTGGCCGGCATCGGACTCATCATCAATTTCGTTTTTGCTTACTTGCTCGAGTCCGAAATCACCAAGCTGATCACCATCGGGCTCATCGTGGCTTCTTTCTCGGCCTCCGTCTGCAGCTTGCTGGCCATCACCGTGGACCGCTACCTGTCCCTCTATTACGCCCTGACCTATCATTCAGAAAGGACGGTCACCTTCACCTATGTCATGCTAGTCCTACTCTGGGGGACCTCCATCTGTCTGGGGTTGCTGCCCATCCTTGGCTGGAACTGCCTTCGAGACGAGTCCACCTGCAGTGTGGTCCGACCCCTCACCAAGAACAACACGGCGGTCCTCTCCATCTCTTTCCTCTTCATGTTCGCGCTCATGCTTCAGCTCTATATCCAGATCTGTAAGATCGTCATGAGGCACGCCCACCAGATCGCCCTGCAGCACCACTTTTTGGCCACCTCACACTACGTAACCACCCGAAAAGGGGTCTCCACGCTGGCCATCATCCTGGGCACCTTCGCTGCCTGCTGGATGCCCTTCACCCTCTATTCCTTGATAGCGGATTACACCTACCCTTCCATCTACACCTACGCCACGCTGCTGCCCGCCACCTACAATTCCATCATCAACCCTGTCATTTATGCTTTCAGAAACCAGGAGATCCAGAAGGCTCTCTGCCTCATTTGCTGTGGCTGCATTCCATCCAGTGTCTCGCAGAGAGCTCGGTCACCCAGCGATGTGTAGCCGCCACCCACCCACCCCTGCCCCCACACAGGGCGTGTCTTCCCATTGATGGCTGCAGTTGTCAAGCTCGCCCACTGCCGGGACCAATGGTTGAGATGCTGTCCTTCAATTCTGTCTGCTGAGTTCTCTCTCAGGCCACAGGAGCACTTAGCAACAGTGCAGCATTCATCATTCATTTAGAGGAGTTGAAGTGATCAAAGTGAAAATAACATTCCCCAGTGTTTCAACCTTGAAAAAATAATGTTGCTTTTTTGGCTGGCTATTATTTTGTTTATGCTAGAGGCGGAGGTTTGTTTTAATTTCATTTGGAGACAGGGTTTTTGTTTATTACCTTCTTTGGAAGGTTGGTATGGGGGAAAGGAAGGGCTGTCACCTGGTCAGGATGTGTTAAAAAGTAAGTCAATCCCAGTTTTTTACCAGACTTTCAAATAAAATTGAGTTATTGAGGAAAATAGAGAAGAAACGATGTTTTTTAGATTTTTATTTTTAATGTCAAGGTAGATTTTCATTGCTGCATGTGTCTAACAGAATAGAATCGTATTCAAGCCAGTGAATATTGTTTACATGGTTATGTTTCAAAGGGACCTGATATTAACATAAACTCAGTAATGAGTTATCAACACTGAAAATATGAACCCATTCTTACTATTTCAGCAACTACTGTTATCAAGAATTCCTTTGGTATTTCTATGAATGTTGTAACTCTACATGGCTTCCTATGTTAGCTAGACCACCAGTTTCAAATGTTGCCATGAAAACCCAGAATCAAATGAGTCATTTTTTAATATAGATTTTCAATATGTCCTTCTAAAACCAATTTAAAACTTGCTTTGGTTTACATATGAAATAGGAGTGATTAGATTTACTATTATCATTTTTAATTTTTTTATCTTTATGCTATAGTCAAGCTGTTTTCAGGAAACATGAGAAAATTAGTAATTTCTATTGAAAGTAGAATTATTTTATTGGAATATTTATTCCCAATTAATATAAAACTATCAAAAATATAAAAAGCACTATCTCTCTGTATCTAAGAATATATTGTTATTCTTGATTGAAAAGGATAGAATTAAATATCGTAGACCCAAGATTTCTTGTTCTTTATTGTCTGTGAAGCAAATGCATTTGAAACAGGTGTTCTCCTATTTTATGTTACCTTGGTGAACGTGTGACATACATACCTGTCCGAAATAGACCTTTGTATCGTGTAAGATGATACATGTGTATTGAATCTGTGGCTGATCATACGAAGTTCACTTTATAGTTCTTTTTCTTCCTTTAATCATGAAGCAACTTACATACAGTTAAAACTGTGTTGCCTGTGTTCAGAGAGCAAAGACTTAGTCAGGAAATGACACCAGAAATTTTACTTTAAGCATTGTAAAATCATGTGTGTGAGCATCATGCCTATTAATGTAAACATGTGTTGGAAAGATACCATTTTTCCTTTAGCAGTGGAGTTAGAGCTCTGTCTGTATAGTTGCTGGGAGAATTTCTGGACAGCAAAACAACCTAGCCCATGCAGACAATACAAGACTAGTATTTCATTGTTCTTGGGGAATTACTTGTAATGAATTGACCTCATTTGTTAGTCCCACATATTGTGCCCATGGTCTCAGTCCCCTCTGGCTGTTCCAGTCCACCTTAGTCTTTTCGCTGACCCAGTTCCCCTCAGTTCCTTTCTGGCTGTCCCAGTGCCCCTCTGTCCCCAACTTGCATGAGATAAATCTCTCCAAGACTCCCTCTTACATAGCACACATGTGAATAAATCCTATACTTGAATTTTATCTCTCCCTTAGGTTACTTAGGAAAGTAAGAGAGAAATTAAAAATAGATTTCAGTACATGCCACTGTGTGATCAATCTAATTGAGTTGAGTTGATACCTTTTTAAAAATGTCAAGATGTGATGGGGTTGATAAATTGAATGAGTTTATCTTTACCACCTAAAAATTAATGATTATTCTGTGTGAGAAATTATAAGGTAATTGGTTTTGACATGGCTTGAGGAATTCCCTGAATAAGGTTTTAAAGCAATAAATGGTATTTTTGTAGAAATGGTGGTTCCCATCTGATTATCGCTAAAAGTAAAAAATTTAATGATAATAATATGTAACATTGCACAAGGTTTTCTACACTCGACACCTTTTTTCTACCCTATGCCTTTGATCCCTTACTGGCTCCAAGAGCAGGGCTAAATAATTGATAGCGTCAACTATCTAAGCTTTAGTTCTACAAATGAGACATCAAGCTTTCTGTGTAAGATTACATGTGACATTCTCAACATGGGTCTACATGAAGGAGGTTTGGTGTATTCTTCTTTACTACCTAAGCTTTAGTTTTACAAATGAGACATCAAGATTTCTGTGTCAGATTACATGTGACATTCTCATCACGGGTCTACATGAAAGAGGATTTTTGTATTCTCTTTACTAAACCTATTCTTGCTTCAGAGCTAAGGCCAACCCTCAAGTGCACATTACAGTATTTGAGTGCAAAGAGACAAGGGCGCTATTATGATACAGAAATCCCCCCCCTTTATTTTTTATTTTAAATAACTTTATTTTCGGAGCTGGAGAGATAGCACAGCAGGTAGGGCGTTTGCCTTGCATGTGGCTGACCCGGGTTCAATTCCCAGCATCCCATATGGTCCCCTGAGCACCGCCAGGAGTAACTCCTGAGTGCAGAGCCAGGAGTAACCCCTGAGTATCGCCGGGTGTGACCCAAAAAAGCAAAAAAAAAAAAACCCTTATTTTCTACACTAACATTGACTGTCATGGTCTCATAAACACTTATAACTTCTATTGACTCCTGTGTTTAAAGACATCTGATTTTAGTTGACCTTTTCTTATTCTATAACATGTCATTACTATTTACTTTCTTGGTGAAGCTGCTATGTGAATTCCAAAAAGGTCTTTTGTTTCAATGGAGCTAATGAGAGAGATGTATACATCTCTCAATATCTATAGATATGTTTATGTGAAGGACATTTATGTGTGCTTATATATACAAGAACATTAGCTTCCAACAACAAAATACATCATGGGAGACATTCATATTCCCAATAGTCTAAGCTATTGAATCAATCCATGTAAGTAAATATTTTAGTAACCAAGGAATTTGTATTATTTCCAATAGAAACAGTCATTCTTTTAAGCAGAACATTTCGGTCAACTCACCAGACTCTTTAGTTGAGGCTAATTACCCAGGATGTGACTGACTACTGTGCATTTCCTTGTGTCCCTCTAGGTCTTTGTTCACTTATTTATTTTGTATTAGCTCATTTTGTTTCCTGAGTGTAAAAAGGACGTCTTCATTTCTGGTGTGTGGAGATGGAGTGACTGGAGGGAGAAGCAGAGCTCCTCCTTCACTGGAAGCCTTAATTGAAGAGCCAAGTATGGGGGGGAGGGTGGAATTGGCTTCTAGAATAATCTTAGAGTCTCCCAGAATATAAAGTGGAATTTGGACAAGAGATTTAGAAAAGCACATATAAAATAAATATATTTAGTGCCAATATAAGTCTCTAAAACTTAAAAAGTTAATCCATTATTAAAATGATTGACTTTATTTTCATGGAGATATATGTGTATGTATGTATGCAAATATGTGTGTATCATAGGAATTAGGATCACTTACCATTTCTGATTTCATATTAAATAAGTAAAATACTATGGTGTTATATTGAACAATGTATATGTTTCCATTTTGATGACATGCCTAATGTAATAAAAGAATAGATTGCCTTCTTGTCCTCTTTTACAACTTTAATGATTATTGAGTGCATAATGATTACTAAAACTGCAAAATCCAGTTAGAACTTTTTAGAATCATCAAATGTAATTTATATACATCAAGGAAGTAGTAAACACATTAGCAGACGTATCTACTGTCCCTTAGTGAACAATGGGGGCAAAAGGTAATTTTTATTTGAAATACTCAAACTATAAATCTTTAAACGATATATAAATCACCTGAGACATACAAATCACCTGCAGACTCAACTTCAGTTTATTTGGAGCTTTCCTCCCAGATAATGCTGATTGTACAGACAGCATGTGGGTAGCACAAATGGCTAATAATCATTCCTAACACAAATATTGGCATAGATGCAGAGAACTAGATAGATAAGTGGAGACACAGACAGATATATATAAAAATTTTCTATTATATGTAGTCTATTAACCTCTGACAAGAATAAAACCCTAAAGCATATACTGCATTTCAAATATATATAGGAAACGTTTATTTTTGTCAGAAGTTAATAGAATTAATTTGTGATCAATGATGTGAACTTTGAGGTTTTCCTAAAATTTCTCAGTATCTAATAAAGACCTCTGTATGTTTATGTTAGTAGTCTTACTTTTTCAAATCCTAATGACCATGATCTTAAATTTTTTTAGTTATATTATTTAACATGGCCAACACGAGTTCAATTCCTCTGCCCCTCTCAGAGAGCCTGGCAAGCTACCGAGAGTATCTTGCCTGCACAGCAAAGCCTGGCAAGCTACCCGTGATGTATTCCATATGCCAAACACAGTAACAAGTCTCACAATGTTACTGGGCCCGCTCAAGCAAATCGATGAACAACAGGAGGACAGTGACAGTGATATTATGCGAATGTTCCTATTTTCAATGAAGATTTTCTTCTACAATTTTTCAAGAAATAATTTTCTCAATTATACATGTGGCTTGCTTTGAGGATTGTATATGCTTGTATGAATTCATCTTAAGATAACTGACATGAAAACTTTTTTCTGCATTCTAAGTTCATCCTAAAACAACCTTACTCTAGCTAGGTGCATCAGAGAAGTTTTGAAATTTATTTGTAATTTTTTTAGTTATTTTTCAGTGCCAATGATACTATTAATAGTTTCAATCATCATTATATCCACTGTTCATCCTTTATGATCAAGAATTTTTTTTCAATCCAATAGAAGTATGTTCACAGACATAATTTTGTTTTGTTTGGGGGCCACATCTGGTGATGCTCAGGAATTACTCTTGGAGGTATTTGGGGGACC